TAATTGTGTAGACCAGCACTGTGACAATTAAAAACAATGAAAACACATGGGCAAACACCAGGACTACTACTCTTAGGCAACCACAAGCGAACATTATTGTGCTTCTCACAGTCACACCCTTCCACATAGGCGACGCGAGCACTGTCCCTTCTCCTGGAGACCACTGTCCTGGCATTGTCATGACTCCCCACCACCTTTCCCAGAGTCAAAAAAATTGTGCTCTCTTTTCTCATTTTGATCTCATCTCAAAGAGTCACAACCTAGGTCTAAACATTAACAATCATGACTTTCTAATTCTTGATTTTGAGCACACAGCTCTCAAGCTATCACCATCTGCACACTCACTGCGAATGCATTGTCACTAACAATTTCTCTTTCCCCGCTTCCACTCTATGTCACTTCCAAGATCCATCGTTATAATGGCTGTCTTGCATCCCTCATCTCCAATGCCTCCCCTCCCCACCTCTGCTTAGCCCAGCTCACTCCAAACAAGTCCAACTCAAGCAAGATGACTGTGCTCATCTGAAGAGAGGGGAAGAAATACCGCAGTTTCCAACACCAAGCCATCGGGTGACCTGAGACCATGTACTTTGCCTCTTTTCCATTCTCATGGATGAACTGTCTTTGTTCCAAAAGCCATTCTTTTCTCTGATGCACTAGATCCATTCACTCTCATCTACCCAGTAACTTTTCTCCCTGTTATTTCCCCCCCTTTCAAGCGTCATAAATTTCACTTTCTATAAGTCACTGCCATCATCATAGGGATACCTACCATCCTTAAAAAAGAATCCCTTCATTGTTCTCACCCCTTTAAGACACCCCACGTTTGGGGCTGCTATATATAATGAATGGCTATCAATCACCCCCTCTAAGTTATGTATCCAAATCACATGAACGAAGTCATCACATGCTTGTCCTCCACCCACCCCCCCCCTCCTCTTCTGATGAAGGACGCTTGTTTACAGGAGAGGAAATAGGAATTAGGTCCCTCTCTCTTAATGCCCCATAGAGAAACTTGATAACTTGGAAATGAGACAGATGTGTCTGAAATACAGAAAATTACCCATAGAGTATAACATAAATCATGGTTCTATTTATGTTAATATGAAAGTGTAAAATTTACCAGCTAAAAGCAATCAAGATGGGAAATTAGAACAAAGAAATAAATCAATGAACACCTTTTCATGGAGTAACCCATGACTGCTTGGGTTCAAGGTCTCTAGGACTCAGATTACAAATATCTTAGTCATGCCATACATGTCATGTGGACACATTTCATGACATAGGGCTTGGCATGACTTAAGTTCATTCTATGGTTATAAACCAGAATTTATTTCTATGCAATGTTAACTGCCTGTCTAAAAACTTACATTATTACTCTCCATAACAACTTATTCCAATAAACTGTCAAACTGAGTGTTCTTTATACATGTATTTCTTTCATCGTTATTGTACTTTGCATATATAAAGTGCTCAATACATTTAATGAATGAGTAAATAAATTATGAAACCTATCACTTGGCAGTGAGCTCAGAACATATGCCTGCTGTGATAAAGAATGACTTCTCTCCTGCAGAACTGATGTCCAAGGAGACAGCACTGGGGTAGCACATAAGAGTGATGCCATAAAATTTCTTCCTTCAAACTTTCTAACTTAATAAATAGGACTTTTAGTCAGGAAAGCTATTTCCCATTAGCACCAAAGAGGACCAGGCAAGCAATAGTCAAATGAACATATTTATAAATGTTATGTACATAATTATTAAAAATCATAAAAGACATTTAATGGCCAAAGTCAGTTTTCTTTCATCTCAGCTAATTTTTTTTTTTCAGATATATTTAACTTAGCTTTGGCTCCATAGATAATAGCCTAGACCTCAGGAAAAGAAATGATGCAAACCTTAAAAATAATTTAGGACGAAAATCTTCAGTGAAGAAAACAATTGCTTGCTTGCACCAGGCCACCCAAGGAAGTCCACGGACCTGGCTGCTGGTGGATCTGGCCTTAACATGGGCACATGCTGCCCACAGGACCTGATGATGCCTGAGCCTCTGATGCGGAGGCTTCCAGATCCTCTACTCGGCTTCCAGGACAGACTCTCACACCTGTTCACATTAGTTTCCTGCCACAAAGAATCTAACCTTTGCCATCCAAAAATGAATGCTGGACTTATTTTAATTATTTGAAAAAACTCTTCACAATAAGTTTTTATTAAATCCTCATCGAGGATTTGGAGAGGCCATGTTATTTATAGCAATGTATTTTTGCTTCAAGCAGCTTATCCACTCTCTCGACTACAAACATCACTATCTCAGCAGAAGTAGCATCTCCTAGAATCCAACTAATATCTATTCCAATCTCCCAATTCTTTCTCTCATTTTTGATTGTCTTCCCTATACTCTACCTCCATCTAATCGGAAACACATATGGTAACCAATGTTGATAGTTTGATTTATTTCCTCCTACACTTTTCTAGATGTTCATAAACATAAACAAAAATATTTATTATGTTGTTTTTTAAAGTCCTCATGCAATTTTTCAAAGATATAATATATAGCTCCAACTCATTTTATTAATAACTACATAAAAAGGATATAGCTTTTATATAAAAGATACACCTTGGGGAAACTGGGTGGCTCAGTTGGTTAAGCATCCGACTTCGGCTCAGGTCATGATCTCGCGGTTCATGAGTTTGAGCCGCGCATCAGGCTCTGTACTGATAGCTCAGAGCGTGGAACCTGCTTCGGATTCTGTGTGTCTCTCTCTCTCTCTCTCTCTGCCCCTCCTCCAGTCACTCGTGCTCTCTCACTCTCTCTCTCAAAAATAAACATTAAAAAAGATACACCTTGCTTTTCAACTTATCATTATTGTTCTATTTTTTCTATCCTAGATAATTTTTCAATAAACACCCATATACATAAAACCTTATGATCTAGGTCACCCATTTCTATACTATCTATGTCTAGGCACGACAAATCAAAGGCTACTGACACTATAAATGCCAATTCATAGCAACATTTCATTTTAAACAAAGGTTACAGCAATACACATTTCCATATGAAGTGACAAAGAATGTGAATTTCCTCAAACCTTAACCCTTAGGTAGATTACAATATATACTATTTTTTAATGTTTGTCTGTTTGGTAGATTAAAGAAAATCATTTCTATCTTGAATTTTATATCCCTGATCAGTAGAGTATAAAACATTTGCATGTATTCATTGGTCTTTTGCATTTTTCTTCTGTGAATTGTTGTTCATATTTTTTGCCTAGTTTTCTATTCTGTATTTCTTTTTCTCTCATCAACATTAGGAAGCATTAATATACTAACTGTATCAACACTTCATCATATTTTTGGCACATATTTTCTCTTGGCCTATTTTTTCTACGATTTTATGTTGAATGTGTCCTTGTGTTTCTGAACCCTCAGTTATGTCCTACAGAGAGAACATTTTGGGCCCACTGGATACTATAGTGATGAGTATGTTTGGTAAGGTAAAATCTCTCTACCAAAAATTTCCTTGTAACTCTCGTATACTTATCCTTCCCATGTAATTTTTACAATAGTTTATCCCAGTTTGTCAAAGAGACAATCAGCCGTAAGATCCTTATTATCATAGCCTAAAGTTTATACCTTTATTTGGGAGAAAGTGATATTATTATGGATCATAGCATACCTTGCCATTTATTCCTAATTACTTTATGTCTTCTGATAAAATGCTATACTTTTCATCAGACAGGTCTTGTCATTTTCTTGTTCAGTTTATTCCTCCTGTTTTATATTTTGTCACTAGTCCAATGTTACTGGCCCAAAGACTTCCAGATCATACCTGAGTAAGAAACCGTGGCATAGACCAACTTTAACAAAGCACTATCTTGAGTATGGGAACTGGCATGAACCTTCGTTCCTTTCTTCAATTACTCCTTAAAAAGAGTCAGCACGCTCATGAGTGTGCTTTTGGTAGCAAACTCATCAAGGAATACGGCCTGTGCCTCAATTTCCTGCTTACAGACCATTTTCAAAAACCAGATTATCCAATTACTCTATTCAACTTTGCTTTGTGTACCCACTTAGTCATACACTTCCTGACCCGAGGGCACATTTTGACTGAGAGCATCATCGATCCCTTCTGTCAATGGATCTTTCCTCAGCTACTCTATTGATAGCCTGGCCACTTCTGCTGCTTATTCAGCATCCCTGAATCATATAAACCAAACACAGGATGCTTTTTCAATTTCTTTAAAAAATTATGATTTATATTCTAGCACATGCTAAAAGAAGTGAGAAAAAAAATCTTGGTTTTCCAGCTTTCTTTGATTATTTGCCACCCTTTATTTACAAGAAACATACCTTTTCTGAAACAGTTTTTTTGTTGTTGTTGTTTTTTTAATCTAAGACTTCAGACTTTATTTACTTATTCATTTTAAGGCAAAGTAATGTCGGGGGAAGAAGCATTCAGATTTTAATTAGTTTTATAGGGTAAGTTCTAAAACACATTTCTTCCAGATCTATCTCAGAGATACTGGAAAGACGAATTCGCCTTGACCCAACACAGAATTCATCTGCTGTCACACATACTAATTTTTTAAACTTGTGGATATATTTTGATTGTTGATTAGACTTTATCTTTTCTAAATTATTTGGCCTCAGCATTTAGCAGTATTAAATAAAAGGTCCATCACCAAATCTTCCAAAACTTCACCCATATAGGGAATTTTGACTGTCAAGTGTTTTTGTTTGTTTGTTTGTTTGTTTGTTTACCCCCTGTGGAATATTTCTCAACGAAAAGTGCCTAAATCATGAAGAAAAACATAAAACATATTAATCCACTCTCCAATGGCAATTATAACCCAATTTTAATATTTTTATACTAGAAACCAACATTTGGCCAGAAAATCGTAAGTTTCTTCCAATGTAGCTGAGTCATCATGGGTTCATCTGAAAGAACAAGTTCTAAAGTGCTCCCATAAGTAGGTCACAAAAGTGGAATGTTTCTACCTGTTCTTTGACCGAGGCGAGGATGGCGGAGGTGGTTTCCGTTTCTGAGCCATCCCCATTGGAGGTGGTCAGGCCAGGGCTCAGGGAGCTGGTCTTCTCTGAGGTTGACGAAGGCTGGTCTGGGACAGGCATAGCTCCTGCAATGCAGAGGGACATGTTTAATGCAATGTGAGATGTCGCCATGGCAAACAGATACAACTGTCAGGAACCTTAAGCATTCCCCTTGGGAAAAATGAAAATTATGAACTACAGAGAAGGCACATGACATCATTATAGAATAGGAAACAATACAGGTAAACAGAATCGTTTCTCCTTTATCACTCCAACCAAATTCTTAGATACACTCACAATTTTCTGTTTTGTATTTGAAGTAAGCGGAAGAAGAAATAATAAGAAGCAAAAAAAAAAGAAAAAAAAGAAGAAAGAAAAAAAAGAGTAAAGAAATGAAGTACTGAGTCTTTTTAAAAAAAAAAAGCCAGCTGATCTACTATTTTATTTCTGTTTTACATAATTTTATTACTTGTGTATTGGTGTATTTCCATCTCAAAGAAAATCTATTCAATATTCCCCTTTATAAGGAAATCACAAAAATAAATGATCAATAATTTAGAAATAATTAAGGGAATTCACGAATTAACATAAGAAGATTAGTACTGTGAATACTAAATACCTAGCCCACTCCACAAATATTTACCAAGTTCCCTCTCTGTGACCTACGGCAGATGAAAGCTTTTTAAAGCTGCCAAGGCTCATTTGCCACAGTTTATTTTTTCTGAGTTTATAAAAGAAAGAAGAAACTCAAATAACATCAGCTCAATTCATAAATGGACACCATTGTACAGGTTAAAAACAGCATCCCAAAAGTTATTTTTTCCCGTTATCTTTCCCTAACAAATAAATAAGACTGAAGTACTTATTATATATATAATCTAGCAGTGCTCATCAGCAGGGGAAATAATAATTAACCAATAACAATTTTTACCAGAGCACTACAAAATCACTATTCAAATAAAAGTCTGGGAGTAAATAAAGGTGGTTTTCTTGCCTCCAACTATCATATCACATGCCCCTCCGGGAACCAGTGCTATGTGAATGTTAGAGTATTTCCTGTTCTACTGTATCTGAGCAGCCTGGGTTTTCCAGTCAACAACATCATTTTCATAGGAACCCTTGCACTATGATATTACCTATATTTGCTAGCAGTTATTAACTAGGGCTATGCTATCTGAAACAGGTTCTATTATAGAATGTTCCTTAAAATGTATGAAAAAAGGTGGTCATCTAATTCTTTCACTGGACTTTCCAAACTAGTTTTGATTTGTTGTCATTTTTTAAGTAAAAATTGTAATAATAATATCAACGACGATTAGAATAGCACTGGAAAGATAAATCGGTTACAAACAATTTATAGGAGGTTTCGGGAAAATAATATCTGCAAGCAAGATTCGAGCAAAGAGTAAAGATCAAGTTAAACATAGTTTGGCAAAACGTAACCATGGCTAAAAAGCAGAAGGTATTTTAGGTGATGGATACTAACAAGATGAAAGAAAGTGATTTAAATAATTATGGTGGTGGGGTTGAGAAGGTAATAATAAAGCACAGTTTTATATTCCACTTGCTTTCACACGTAGTATCCTGTTTGATCAAGCCTTATAATTACAAGGATTTAAATAAACAGATCAACAAATGTTGTGCCCAGGTAACAGAGCCTGGAAGCCAAGCCCTTCTAATTAGGAAAAGTGTGAGAATGGGGGAAGGGGGGGGGGAGGGCAGAAAGCAAGAAGAAAGGAAAATGGCAGTTCTTACATGCAAAGTCACCCCCCTTCCCCGGCCTTGCATCTCCACCTGTATCCATGTCACTGGCGTCCAAAGGGGACTCTACCTCTTCCAAAGGGGACGCCCTCAAGATGGGAAAGGATGAGTCTTACATATTTTAAATTATTTTAACTTTCATGTTTTCCAAATTTTGTCAGGCCCATGTGAATCTAGGTTTTGGACCAGCATTATTATCAATATATTTTTTGACAAAGAAATTGTCTAAAGTCTCTAAGTTATTTATATAATTGGGCCTAGAACCCGGGTTTTCTCCCTCTTCATTCCTATTTTAGAGTCCTGTGATGCATTGGCCTATTTCCCATTACCTGTGGTGCTGCCTCATAAATGCTAGTCTACACACCAATTTCTCTAAAATGTTACTCTTAAAAGTAGGAGGGTAACCTGTCATAATAAAATATGGGATTTAATAGGCATTGAATCAAGGTAAATCTTCAGGCACCGGACAACTCTGACCCACACACTGTAAGGAATAATTAAGTCTGTTTACTTCCCCCCCTTTCTCCTTACAGCAACGACAGAAAAAAAGTGAATGCTTCAAGGCCTTCAAGGCCCACCATCCAGAGTCACGGCTAGCCATTGTGCCTGAATGGAAATGACTGGGAATCATTTCCATGGCTCGTGATTTTTCACACCCAGATCTAATTTGACCGTTGGCCATCCCTGTGCATGAGTAAGACTGCCGGACCTCCACTGCTAATCCTTTTAGCTCACAGCACAAGACGAGAGGCGGGGCCACGTGAAGACTACCGCAACCAAGCTGTGGACTGCCTAATGGTAAGTGTAAAAAGCTTTAAGCCTTCTGACTTGGCAGTAAATCGCCAAGTGCTTTAGTTTTAATTAGAACTAATCCACCAAAATGAGGAGATATTCTGTGTTAAATCCAGGAAATCTGGAAAATGTAGAGAGACAATAAGAAAGGAAAAAAAAAAACCCAACACCAAGGAAGAGGCATCCTCAGTAATTCTGCCACCCGAGATAAGTGTCTTTACGTTGGCGTATTGGTTTAGGCTTCTCTGAAAGAATGTTTTTTTCTGATTGAACACATTCTACGTAATGAGTGTTACATAATGGAGTCTTAATGTAATATTCTCGATGTGTTTTTAAGCTTTGTTCACCATCATAGCATGAACTGTGTCTTACGTCAACAAAAATTATTCTAGAGTTTTAAAATGTCACGAATACTTAGTATTCATAAGGCATCATAATTTACTATCTCTTATTTGTAACTTTTACCCTACTGTTATGTCTGTGACATTTTCAATAGATAAAGTGGTGTTAATGGAATGAGGAACCAGCGCAAGTTTCAGACTTTGGAGAGCCAGAACGAGTTTCCCTGCCGCCAGGCTGGTTCAACATATCTGCCCATGAGAATGTCCCCTCCCCGCAATGTGAACAAGACTGGCCTCTATTATCTTCTCCTGCTTTTACCAATTTGATATAGAAAAATGCATCCCTTTGATTTTTTTTCTCTTTGGCAACAAGTACAGTGCAGATTTTCCTACAGATTTCTTGATCCTACGTACAACACCTCTTATTCTCTTTATACAACGACTGTGTAGGAAGTCTTTCTATCGCTAGTCACATGCTAATCGGCAAATACCTAAACTACATTTTAGACGGAAGCATCTTCGACATGAGAAAAAGGGACAATAATGAGGGACAGATACTGTCACATGTTAGTGGGTTTGTTCTCTAGCAGAACTTGGTACTAACAAGTTCTATGTCCAGAAAATACAAAACCACAAGTCGTGCTGTGCTATACCTGCGCATGCATGAGTGTTACAGACTCAACTGTGTTGACTCATACCCCCATCCCTGGCCCCACCTCTGCCCCAAATCCATATGCTGAAGCCCTAATGCCCAAGGTGACCATATTTGGACATGGGGCCTTCAGGGAGGTAATTTAGGTTAAATGCAGTTACGAGGGTGGGGCTTCTAAGGGTGGAACTGTTGCCCTTACAAAAAAGAGGAAAAGACCAGAGCTCTTTCCACCTTGTGAGGACACAGAGAGAAGCGAGCAGCCAAAAAGAGCATTCTCAGCAAAAGCATAAGCCAACACTTCGATCTTAGACTTCTGGCCTCTAGAACTGTAAGAAAATATATTTCTGCTGCTGAAGCCCCTCTGTCTGTGGCATCTTATTATGGCAGCCTGGGGTTGGATGTTCTCAGCTTCTTTCTCTTAACCTCCCCCGGGAGGCGAGTATGGGGGCACCGGGGAACTGATGTTTGGAGGCCAGTAATGGCACGTATAGCTCTCTGCGGACACCTACTTCCAAGATGAACTACAGGTGTCAGGAAAAGGCATGTGCTGCTTCAAATCAGCAACCTGGAAAAACCAAAGCTTGTAAGGGGGCTGTGCCCCACTGGTGTGAAGTAAGCCTATGGAACAAAACACTATCTTAAGAACCTCCATGGGACTTTCACAGATGGTGCAACAAGAAATTCAGCAAAGTTGGCTGGGATGAGAAAAATACCAAAAGCAGGCAGCCCTCATATACAGAGCATCCTTCCCAATATGAACTCTTATGACCATAAGTAATAAGATTTCATGAGGTCCAAATAAATATTCTAAACTTTCATTTCCCAAACATGAGTTTGGGATATAAACGTACATGTTGTAATCTTATGTGCACTTTAGAAGGCCAAATTCTCCTGCTCTCAATTCAAGGACCACATTCAACGCTATCTTTTATTGACCTCCATCACACAAAAAGAAAATAAAATTCTTATTTTACATTTTGTAAGTATTCAAACTCGTTCCTTCTTTAGTCACTGCTGCCCAGCAACCGATGACTTTACTGGAGGAGGTCATCAAGAACTTAAATAGTTCTTGAAAACCAGTTAACCCTTAAGCTGGATCCGGCCAACTACAGGCTCCATACTCCCTCCCCTGTCCTTGGAATGAATGCGTGTCTGCTCACCTTCCCCACTCCCAGAAGCTTCTCTAAGAATATAGCCTGGTGGTAGAAATGTGGTGTTAAGGTATGTGACTGAACCCAGTTAAGGCCTATAGAAACTTTTAAGATTCTGGCCAGTGGGCAGTACAGAAATCTACTTGTCCCATAGCCACCCAAGGTGAGCCTTGTAAATAAGTTCTCTTGTTTATTAAACCTGCCACCTACCAGTCTAGAGTGGTCTGCTGCCTTCTTCAGTCTCTCCCTGCCCTTGAGTATGGGCTCCAGTTTGCAAACCAACAGACTTTGACATCAGATATGGCCATCTTCAAAAAATTAACTGATGGATTCTGGTGTCACACCATCATCTAATTCAATGAGCCACCTAGTCTTCTCATG